ATCATCAAATGTTTTTATTTGTTCAAGTAAGTTCCATAAAATAAGTCCATCATCGTTATTTTCAATAGCTTGAAAAATTTGCCAAATCAAATGAGATCTATCTGCCATAACCTTGAGTTACTGTATTAAGTTTTACAACACAGTCGATATCAAGAGTTTTGTATAAAAATACACTTGTACTTAGTTTTATACAGTTAATTCATTCTGAAGTGTTTTTTTATGTCTCTGTGTTATCGTGTCGTTTTTTATACCATTAGAAAATGACTTGAGGTTTTTTTCCCTTCTCTTTCTTTATACTTTGTACAAGTGAAAAGGCCAATTGCACATTTACGTCCTCCCTTTCATGTACGTTTTTTTTTGTGTCATAGTACATCATACACTTTATCATACAATACAATGACTGTTTCATGTTATGCGACAAGGCTAAAACTTATGTCATTATCATGCAACATGTTTTATGACTTAAGTGAAATCAAGTTCAATGAAAATTTCTTTATTGTTTAACTTTTTTTTGAATGATTTACAAAGTATAAATGAAGGTTTTTTACTTTCATTAAAAGTTTATGTATACACTCATGACGCATTTATATTCACAACTTGATTACAATATATAAGTTTACAATAAAAGATAAACATTTATCTGTTTTTTTTTGTTCTGTTTATATCTATCATAAATGTTCGTTTGATTATTCGTTTTACATCTCTGTTTTCGACGTGATTTTATGATTTTCACATTGTGCAAGAACGTTTTGTTGCTGTAATGATGATGCTTCTGCTTCTTCTATATCAGAAAGATTGTTGTCTTGATTCTGTTGAATTGATACTGGATTAATTTGATAATCATTATTGAAGTTGGTCAAAAATGTTGCTGATGCATTACAATTTAAACTTCGTCGTTTTCTTCGTTGAATATTTTTCTTCAGTAAATATTGTTGTTTACGTGAAAATAATGTTATAATTGTATTATAAAATTCTTCTCTAAAACGTCGATTTGTTAAAACATACAGAAAAAAATTTGTTGAAAAATATGTTTGTTGTAATGTATCAAGTAAAAGATGTGTAAATTTTACAATACATTCATCAATATTATTTCTATAAAATTTTTTTCCAAATGATTGATGAAAATTAAATGGTAAATTAAATATTAAATACAAAATATTTAATCCAATAAGCATTGCTGATAAATGTATGTCACGTATTCGTTTAATACGATGTTTTTTAATTAATATTGTTGAAGTGGTGGTTGTTGTTGTTATGTGTGAACTATCTCGTGTTAAAGAACTTGTTAATATTGTTGATTGTCGTTGTTCATTTGATTCACTTTCATCCTCATATTTTATTAAACTTTGTTTAGTTCGACCGATTTCTAAACGTAATTCTGTGTGACGTCGACATTGAATTTGAAAACAGAAACATGAATATATATTTGATTTAGTTGTTGTTTGTGGAATAAAACAAGAAAATATGTCTTGTATTCGTTGACAGATTTTTTTTTGTTTGGAATTATTATTATTTGTAGAATTTGATCGAGCAAAACGTTTATTTAAACGCATTTTTAAACGTAAACTTCGTACAATAAGAATTGTACATATAAGATTCATTAAAAGGGGAAGACAAAAAAATATAATTAATTCGAATAATGGATAGATTGTTGAAAGAAAATAATAATATGCTGGTGCTGTTCGATATTGATCATAATAACAAATTGTTTTTTGTACCTGACCATCAAAAACTAACAAACAAGGAAAAATATCAGTATAGAAACAATAATAAGATTTCTACAACATTGAGAATATAAGGATGAGAACGGGGATGACATCTCATCTAATTTTAATTTATATTTAATTTTCTTCTTATTGATAAAGCTTTCGACAATGTGTCTATAGGAGGAGAGGTTCCGAAAGTAACTTGTGAATTTTATAAAAAAAAAACAAATATAATGAAAAATTAGAAAAGCTTTATTTGATCTCTTCAACGAATAATAAATATGAACCGTAATCAAAGTTCATTATTGAGCTATGTACTCTTCAATGGAAAAGTGCATTTAGATAGAATGCAAGGGCTCATGTATTGGTTAAAGAGAATTTGATTTTGATATTGAGATAAATCTCTTTTTGCAAAGAACGGCTTTTTTTTTAATTCAAGAAACATTATACAAAGCTTATTTTTGATCTTGGCTTAGAAAATTTGCTCTTCTAAAATGTCATTAAGTTTCATTCATAAGTCAAAAAGTATAACATTTTCATATCTATTTTCTTGAGTTTTATTTTAATTGTTATAGTATAGAACATAATTCATTTAGCATTAATAGATAATTGAACTTGACAGGATTCTTCTTATTAAATTATCATTTCTTTTTACAAAACAAATCTTTCATAACAGATAAGTTACTTATATGTGTATGTAGCATTGAATCCACAGGAAAATAGATAAGATTTTAGTCTTGAACAAAGTTCAGAACGTACGTTCCGATCTTAAAATCGCTTGTTCTGATAGAGGGTTTCTAAGGAAAGCAACTTTCGGTAAAATTACAGCGAATTTGTAATAGGCATCATGATTGAAAATGAGCACATTTTTTTTCTCTGATGAATCAGCTCGTCAAATTTTATAAGTCACAGCACTTTCAAACAGAAACAGCTGTAAACCATAAGGATTTCTTCTGTGTTATCATTTATGTCGAATATAAGTCTTCGTAACAATCTGTACAAATTTCAACTTTCTTATCATTAACGATTACCTACTAAAAAATTAAAATTACCTTTATGACCAAATTTGACAAGCCAATGAAAATGATAAGCACATAAAATAATAGCAATAACAAATTCTTTGATTAAAACCATACGAAATGTTGATTTTGAAAATTTTCTTTTTGGTCGATTTTTTGTTACTGTTCGTGCACGATCAATATTAACACATACTAATGTAAATAAACTAAAATGTGTTAAAAAATCTAATGTAAAATGATAAAAACGGCATGTGTATAAATTATTTTCAAAATGTATATTTAAATAATATGTTAACATCCATTGTATAAAACGTACTAATGATAACAAACCATTTGATAAAGATAAAAATGCTAAATAAGCAAATGTTGAATGACAACGTAATGAACGTTGCATGAGAACAATAAATGCAAAAATATTTAATATTGAACCAAAAACAAATAATGAATAATTATGAACAAATAATAATGGTCGAGAAATAACGCGTTGATTTGGACATGGATTTGTTATTTCCATAGGAATAATTAAAATACTATTCTTATCATAAATATTTGTAAGATTATTCGAATTCATTTTTTCTAGCTTGAAAAATAAAAATTTTTTATTTGCATTATTTAATACAAGACACAAAAAAAACATTAAATAAAAACTTCCTTCAATTAAATTGACATAGTCTTTCCTGTTATAGTAATGCGAAACGTCTTAGAAATCTACAAGTGTTTCTGAAAGAGAACACAATAATAGAATATATACGTGTATATATATAGAGAGAAGATAAATAAAAAAATAAGAGAAATAGCATATCGAGAGAAAAGAGAAAGGAAAAATAAGGATGACAACGATGAAACATATTTTTTAAAAATGAACTAGATACTTCTAAGAAAACAATTTAATATTGCCGACATATTAGTGAACATAAATATAAAATGACTAGAAGCAAGAAGGAATGCTAAAAGAAACGACATAAAAGAAAACTTATCTATGAATTGCAATAAAAGAAAACTAACTTGATTGTTCTATCTACTAGGCAAAAACTGAGTTAATCCCTGGACTAACCCAATTCTCTAATTACAGATTTATTTGTCTTTCTCTTCGATAAAAAAAAGATTATACATACATGTATCTTGCATGAGTACTGCAGTTTTGCATGATTTCTTTCAGATGTTAACATATTCATCTCAAATATCTTTGTTGGTCGATTTCATTTTTCATGAAAGATTATATTGATGCTTTACAAGAGTAGAAGAGTTCGTTGAGGAAAACTACCTTACTATAGAAATGTGATATTTCACAACAGTTTATTCTAAAACTTTGCTTATTATTGTCGAATACGTGGCATTTTAATCTAAACTTCACTGTTCAGATATTATTAAATCGAAAACTTTTACAGATCGTTATAAATGAATACTATAATCTGTAGAGCATAAAATCATATTTCTGATAATTAAAAAAAAACCTACACCAAGAAAGAAAACACAATGTGTATTGACGTATATAACTCTGCCGACGTCTCAGATTATCGTGTCATTTGCCATACACTCATCATACTTAATAGAGAAATACCGAAGATCTTCAAAAATTACAAATATACTTATACGATTGATGCTCTTACGTATGTGAGATATTAGCTCTGTTTTTTTTCTAGGAACTTCTTCTTGTTGAATAGATTTTTACGATTTCAATTATGAAATTAAATGGTTTCCCATTAACTTTAAAATCAGTCGTTTTTATTTGCTTCCGTAATGCATCAGCATAATAATACAGTAATAGCGAAAATAAAATAGTCTAATCATTTCCTACTTAGAAACTTTTCTTGTAGAGAAAATTGTCTGATAATAACAATTCTGCTTAGAGTTTTTATGACAGAAAAATCAAACAGCACATCATGACCTTATATAACACAACTAGGATAGTAATATGCTCATGAAAATCATTCATCCAATTGTAAAATATTAAAATAGCTTGACATGTGTTTTTTTCTTTAGTGACAAGAAACATTGAAACATTGGAAAAGAATACAACCAAGCATTATGAATTACATGATAAAAACAGAATACCAGAATGATTTATTTTTGTAAAGACTCATTTCACGGGAAAATACGATTAAAAAAAAATTTCTTTACAAAAAATTGATAAACACAAAGATTGAAAAAACTCTAACTACTTTTATCCAAAGCGATTAATCATAGAATAATAATAATAATAAAGCAGATCACGGGAAGAAGATAAACAAACTAAATTAATTAAAAATGATGTCTTTTTCATAAATTAGTCGATCTATTCCGTACACATAAGATTATTGTTATTTGTTGATATTGATAAATTTATTGGATAATATTTTTGTGATTGATCTATTTGTTCTAGATTGTTTGAAATAGGTGATGATGAATTCGATGATGAACTTGATCTTGGTGAATGTTGTTGATTCAAATTTTTATAATTATTTGTTGTCGTTGTTGTCCATAAATTCATAAGACGATCTAAGGATGAATGTTGAAGCTCATTTGATACATTCGTCTGACACCCTAAGAATATTTGTTGATTATTCATCATTGTTAAATCATCATCACGTATAAGACGTTTTCTTTTATTGGGTTGACGACGTTTTAATTCAATTGGATATTTTTTTCTTTCATTACAAAATTTATAATATAATTTTCGAACTAATAATTCAATACTACCAATAACTGATACACAATGTGGATAACGATCAACTAGACGACTTACTATTGAACGAAGTTCATCTGCATTTGGATAGCTAAAATATTTCGAAATAAAATTATTTTCTAAAAATCTTAAAAGTATTTTATTTACAGTTCATATTTAACAATTTCTTGATATAACGCTTGAACAAGAGCATTTAATTGATTAGCATCACCATTACCATTAAGAAAAGCAGCTATATGAGGTGGAAAACGTGGTATTGGTATACCATCATTTGGTTTTGGTAATAGATCATACATAAGATTATGTTGGACATGAGATATGTTATCAATGTGATGTATTGATGATATACTAAAATTTAAAAATGTGTTTTTTCTTGAAAGAATCTAATGTCAATAAACATACGTATTAAGTGATTCATCATAAATACGTTCGATTTTTATATTCATTTGTGATGATGATTCACTTTCATCATGTAAATTATTTGTATTACGATTTGCTACAACATCGGCTGTTGCTTGTAATGGAATTGGTGTTATTGAACGTGCTGTTGTTGTTATTGTATGAGATGAAACTGGTGTTGATGGACTTTTGGAAATCAGTGATGATGAATCTCCAATTGAGTTCATATCTTTTTCACTAGAAGACATAATTCAATTTTATTATTTCTTTCTTTTTAAATTTATGATTAACATGACATTTACAATTTATAATATGTGACTTGTTGCTATTTTAAGATTACAAAAGATATGACTTCCGATAGTGTTTCGATTAGGTACTCGAAAAACGTGATTTTTCTATTAACATCCGTCTTTTATGCTACCCATAGTTCTTTTTTATTAGACTTTTTAGCATCATAAAAAAACAAAAAAAGATGACCCAAGAAAAGGAAATGAAAACAATTACTTAGGCACAAAAACTCGAAAATTTTGATATTTATATTATAATAATACTACATAGTTGTATATTTATCTAATGAATAACTGATTTATTTCTGGCACACAGTTGCATTTTTTTTATAATTTGATACTATAATTGGTTTTTTCTTTTTTTTACCAGTATTGTATTGGTTTCGACTTTATCAAATAAAATTTTCCAATGATTAGATTCTTTTTGATTTTTTTAATAAGCTTCTTGTTAATCATTTGCTTGAAATGTCAAAGACATAAATGATGAATAATGTCATGAAAGTAGAATAAAATTGGTTTCATGATGAAAATACATCTGCATAATTTACAATTAGTTCTTTGAGCATAAACAAGATACTTTGTAGTCTATTTCAATACTATCATGCGATATATTCAACTACTAAAATTTCCACAGAAACCTGAGAATCAACTATTGTATTACTTATTTTGTTTTGTCATTTGCGTATGTGATTCTATATATAATTACTCATTTTATTAAGTATTCAAATCATTAACAATATGTTTATCGTCTTCGATGCGTGTTTGATTATTAAAAAGTTGGATAAAATAAATAGCAGAAATACATGAGATTATCATGCGCTTTAACGCATGCTCATACATTGTTGTGTAAACATTAAAAGATACATGTCGCTCCATCTTACAATTCGCAGTAGGATCGAAGAAACGTTGTTCAACTTTCGAAACATGGTAATAGAGCAAAAATAGAATATAGAGGTATACGCTATACTTAAGTGTGTACAAAAGTCAAGGACAGTTTAGCAGATGTTTCGTAATAATATAATTTACTAATAATTAAATCTTCTCCGAAATTTTCAGAATTCTTAATTTATCTTTCTGCTGATAGTTTTAGATTTTTATCGTTTCATAAGATGCAAAAGTGCGTAACAAGTAAAATGAAATAAAATCTTATCGTTTTCTAATCAACAAAGAATGAGTGCATCCAAATAATTGCAATATTTCAATAATATTCCTTGTATGCATAGTTGTTTAATAGAAAACGATGAAGCTACTACTATAATAAAAGAGACAATTAATCAATCTATGTTTCGGTTTATGAACTCCTACCTACTTTTAATGAACTTCGATGATGAAAGATGCTAATTGTAATCAGTGAATGTGAAAGAAAAGTAAAAGATAACTATCACACTAATCCGTAATGAACTTTGATTGTACGATTATTTTTATGATGGTGGACAAGTGTTTCTAAAGTGTCTGTCACTTCTGTAGGACGACGGAGTTGATGGCTCTAAAGATCAAGGCTCCTATGAAAGCGTTGCGGACTTGTTTGATTTATAAGGACCCATCTAATTGAGATATATTCAGGAATTGAAGATCATTGTCGTACTAAATTCGAGGCATTTTGATTCGATCATAATTGTGAATATAGCCTATCTTTACAAGATAGTAAATGAGTACTTAGTTATTCATATTAGTCAATAATTTCTAGATCCGTTTTACAAAAAAAATAAATAAAGTTGAATAGTAATTCAAAATTACTTTGACAGTACTTTTTCAAATGACATTCTCATAATAGAACCATTCATTTAAAATAAATTTTCTGAATCTATTGAACCGTGAGTCAATTTTCTATTGCTTACACTTTAAGTTTGAATTATATATAAACACTCATCATTTAGCTATCGTGTTAATGAAACTTCTTCTACACTTAATTAGTTAACTTCGTAATCAATAGAGATTTCCGTGCTCTAGGAAACGAGCTACTTTGTAACGACTAAAATAACGGATCATATCATTACATTCTTAATGCAATATTCGTGAGGCACGATTTTTGAACTTTTCTAACGACTTTCAAGAATAATAATAAACACTTCACTTCAAACAAATATCATATGTGGAATCAGTACAAAAATTGAACCGACTTACGTATGTTTCAAAGTCTTTTTGAGGCTATTTTCTGACTCAATTTTCACCGCTAGATCCCTGGAAGATATGTGAAAAAATAAATTTAATTAAAACAATTATTTTATTGTCTAGTTGCTTGCTCTTTTTTCTGCAAATAGCATTTTACACGTTTAGAACTTGCTTCCCACTGCCACGATGATTTTTTGACTAAATTAATTTGTTTCCATATATTTGAGGAATTCAGGAGTGTCACTGCGATCAAACAAGATAGTCACAGAAATAGTTTGAAATATACATAGTTTTGCTCAATATTTTGTGTTGATTCCAAATATGATATTTGTTTGAAGTGGAGTTTTATTATTATGCTTGAAAATCGTCAGATATCAGTCGAAAAAGTTCAAAATTGTGCATTACAAATAGTACACTAAGGACTTTGTTATGTAACCCATTATTTTAGTCGTTACAAAGTAGCTTGTTTCCTAGCACACGAAAAGCTTTCTTGATTGCGAAGTCAACTAATCAAGTGTAAAGGAAGTTTCATTAAAACAATAATGAAATGGCAAATGCAGTGTCTTTGAATTGTTCTAATTTCAAGTGTAAGCAATGGTAAATTGTTACACGATCCAGTATATCCAAAGCATTATATAAAATACATGCTTCTATTATGAAAATGTCGTTTCAATCAGCACTATCAAAGCAACTTTGATTTATTCTTCAACTTTTCTTGTTCTCTGTAAAACGGATCCACACATTACTGAGTATTAACAATAACGGTCGGCTCATTTACTATATTGTGAAGATAGACTTTATTCACAAATATGATAGAATCAAAATGCCTCGAACGTAGCATGACAATGATTTGTCATTCTGTATATAACTCAATTAGATTGCATCTTGAAAATCAAAAAGAGACCAAAATGTCTTTTTGAGCGCCTCTACACTGCAGCATTCTTTTCTGATCGTGTCTCACGAAAGCTTAATTAATAATAGAATATTCATATAAAAACAAATTACCATGCTTTTACGTCATTTCATTAAAGACATAAATAAAATTTCTCATCGAATTTACACTTATTAATTTTAATCAACTCAACATTTGAAATATCTTAGGTATCGTTTAACTTACATAAGTACTTGTAAACGACCTTCAAATGGTATTCGTTTAAATGATTCAATGTCAATATATTCTTGATATTGCTCATTCCACATTTGAATAATTAATGTTGTTTTTGTTATGTGTTGTAATTGAAATTCTTGCACTAAAACGTAAACATTAATTCTCTTTGAAACTGAAAGCAAAAATAAGGAAAAAAAACAAGAATGATTTAACTTATTAAATGTTTAAGATGTTCATGTGAAATTCCATTTTGTTGATGATAATATTCACTTGTTATTGGTATTTCAATTAAACGGTTTCGTTGACAAAATCGACATAAATAAATCATTGGTGTTAACTCCAATGATGATCTAAGTTAAAATAAAACATAATATAATCAATGAAATTTTTTTACAAAATTATGTTTATTTTTTAATTATGAATATTTCTACTTTTTTGTTATGGATTTTTTTTTTAATATTATTATTATTATTAATAAAAGAAGATGAATTTACTACAACTAATAATGAATTATTTTTATTGTTACTATGCAAATTATTATATAGTTAATATTCTATAAAAAATTAAGTAATGCGGTAATATTATCAACTAGTTTAAGTGTAGCTTCTAAATCAACATCCAGTGATGTTGTATCATTTGCAATGTTTTTTTGTATTGATAATGTTGTTGAAGTTGACGTTGATGATTGAGAATTAGAATTATGATTATTTACAAATGAATTTAAAGTTTTTCTTGATTAGATACTGAACTTAAATCATGTATTGTTTTTGTTTTAGTAACTGATGACATGATATATTTAATTTAAATGTTATGAAAAATAGACGAATGAAAAAAAAAGAATAAAATGAAATAACTGCCAACATGACACAAAGATGAATGCATATCAGTGTCAACTCTTTTTGTTTAAGAATATTTGATCACTTACCGTGATGAAAATGATGTTTTACGAAAAATTGTGGTTTTTTTATTCATCGTTACTCAATGTTAAATGAAGATGTATTGAGAGTATGCATTTTTTTTTCCACGAAAAAAAAGACATATATATATATATAAATATACGAAATAACAAATAAAATATCTTTTATCCTTTTGACGGTATCGTTCGTGTCGTTGGCACATACATTCGGCAACTTAATACATCAGACATCACCTGTGCTATGTGAGAGTATAGGTAGAACTTTGTGCCAGAATAAAACCATAAGCAATGATGAGAGAATAATATGTTTTGTTTTTATTCAAATCGACCGTTACATGGTTAAACAATACTAAATTTAATCTTTAAGTTATATAGACATAAATCTGTATCCATACGATAGTCTATTTCGATATTATCAGTTGTCCGTATCACTCGAACATATATCCAATTACATTTCTCTCATAAAATCTCTTTTTTTACCATCAAATAGGATACTATCAAATAATTTATTTTTTTTTTTCTTTCGAAAAAGAAAACAAAACTTTTATTTTTAACAAAAACAAAGAAAAAACAACAATAGTGTTTTTTTTTTCTTCTTATTTTTCTGACTGTTGATTGTTATCAGTCAATTGAAGATATGCTAAAGCATTTTCTTGACATGATCGTAAAACATGTGTATCTAACTGGAATTTTCCACTTAAAATTTCTTCACATTGCTGTCGAATATGTTTATCCGATGTTGTTCTTAACAACACTAATTCATATAATGTTGCATTTTGTGCATGACAATATTCGGGATCATTTAGTTCCCAAAGATATTTTATTCCTGAACCTGAAAATTCATTATCAAATAATTGTTCAGTTACTAATGTTGAAATTGTTAATAATGCTTTAATCATAACTAAAACGGCACCAATCGATTTATTTAATTGTAAATGTAATATCATTGTTAATAAACGTTTTATAAAAGCAAGTAATTTATTTTTTGATAATTGTTTATAACGATCAATTAACATTAATTGTATAAGTTTAATAACAAGATCAATGTCCATATCAGATGGACATGGTAAAAGTAATGAATAAAATAAAGCATAAAATCTTTGTGGATCAATATGTATTAATACTTGTTGACGATTTAATATTGAAAAAACTGTTATTAAACAATGAAATTTAGCACGTTGATTTAAACCAGTTTGTTCCGATGATAATTCATCATAAAAACATGTTATTAAATCATCCATATATTCAATATTAATTAAATTAGCAAATTTAGCTAAACCTTCACATACACTTGGCATTAAACGTAAATTAAGACGACGTTTTAATAAACGAAAATAATTTAAAAAAATTAATTCAATTATTTGACGATTTAATTTTAAACGATGTTCTTGACGATTAGCTAAAGTTTTATTTTCAAGTAATTTAGTTAATTCTTGTTTTTCTTTATGTTGACGACGATCACGACGTGATAATTTTTGTGAACGATAATCTGGTTTTGATGCTTTTTCCAATTTTTTTTCTTCTATTGGAGATATTTCACGAATATTAAGTGAAAGAAATACATCGAGTACACATGGTTCAACAGCATATGAACGAGTTTTTAATAAACGTGTTACAAAACGAACAACTTCAAGAGATAATTCACCTGTATGATCATTACGGAGGAGATCCGAAATACAATTACAACATTGTTGTTGTACAACCGAATCACTAGAAGTAAAATAAGATTTTTATATTGATTCAAGAAGTTCTGATCATGACATAAATACGAAAATAAGAAGACTATAGAGTTTACGTCAGAGATTGACAATGCTCAGTTTGTATCTTTACAAATTAATCTTGATTCTAATTCGGCTTTTAGGTGAACCAATGCACCTTAGAGAACAGTAGATAGAGAGATCTAAGATGTTTGCTCACATGAACCTATTTTAATTAGAAAATTTCATTGAAAATATCAAAGTACGGTTCGATCGAGCGCAAACTCAAGAGTTTTAAACCCGACAGGCTTTGTTTTCTATAGGCGCAAGCAAATATCTGGCTTCTTTATGGAGAAGTCAACAAAAGAAATGTCGCAAGTAGCAAAGAAAATATTCATATATCTTCTTGTCTTTCATCATCTAAGAATATGAATCAACTATTTATATTTGTTAGTATTGAAATAGGTATTTACCTAATTCTCAAACAAACCAAATTCAATAGAATATGAATATTCCTTCTGAATAACATGACCAAAAGAAGACATGAATCTATTTACAATAAACTTTCTCTCGTTCTTGTCATCGTAGAAACTCCTGAATTTTTTTATTGTTTCTCATAGGATACGTGTTTTAGAGCGATCTTCTGTTCGATTGCTCCTTTTTTTCTTACTCTTAATTAAGAAGTTTTTCAAGAAAATCCAACAAATTGGAGAATATTTCAAAATTAAAAAAAAAATGCAAAAAAACATTTTGGTTTAACTCGTTATTGACTATCAGGTCAGGGTACACGAAACGAAACATATTTCTAATTAAATATATTAATTAAAGTTAAAAATTTCTTAATTAATCAAATTACAAAGAAAAAGTTGTCTATCATGTCTGAGGTGTTATCTCTTCACTTAATGTTCTAATATAGAGAAGAGTGAAATGATGATTGTTTACATAGAGACAAGCAAGTTAAGGTAAAGATTAGATAGTTTCGATTATCTTCGATGAAACTCAAACAAAATTTCTTCTTTTAATTTGGTACAGTTTAAATATGTGTTCGATCAAAGAAGAAACCTTTTGCTTCATACTGTCACATGGATCAATAGTCTACATCGTTTTAATTGTTTTTCGTTAACGATGTTTTTTTTTCACTTTTCTAATAACCTATGGTGATCTTTATAATCGAGGAAAGATCAAAGTTTTGCAAGGTGTTCAAAACATATTATTAATCACATTAATGATATTCTAATAATTCAAATAGAATACTGTAAGTAAACAATTTAATGTATATGTCAAGACACTAGTATGACATATTTATGCATCAGAGAAATCGACAGTGATATAAGTATCGAATAATGCTCTTTTCCCCAGATAAAATTTCCATAAGTCTAGATTTGTAAGACTCATTTCTTTAGTGTTCAATTAGACTTCCGATGACATTTAACGATGCAAAAATCATGCTACCAAATGTTAACTATTAGATTCCTTCATCAATATGTATTAAAAGAATATTCTCGTCTCTTTGAAGCAGTATCTGATTTTATATTTGTCTCATATTTATAAAATGAGGCGATAAAAAAGAAAAACACTGACAATAAGAATTTGTTATGTTTGCAGTAAAGTCTCTCTATGTGAGCATCTCTTTATTCTGAGTTGTAAACGCTTATTTCTGATCACATCAGCAATAAAAATTTCTTTCATATGAGCAAGATATGTTCTATCACGAATTTGCAGAGCAAGAAACAAAATGATGTTATGTACTATGATAAACAAACATGAAAAAATTAGGAAAAGGAGATAGACTAATCGTGGATAACTATAAGAAGAAAAAAACAATATTACACAACAACAACACTGCTTTATGTAACATCTCGTAGTTTTTATGTTAACAGCGAGTAATATCAAATTGTGTCAATACGAGTTGATTTATCTCTGATTAAAAAAGCTATATTAATTAATTGTTGAAAAGAAGAAAAAGATCACTTGGTGCGGCTGACAAGCGATTACAGTTGAATACTTATAAATTGCAAAAAAGAAACTGAAAACGTTCGAACAATAATTGTGTTCATAAAGTAAGCACTATTAACCGATTTTTCTGTATGTAAATTTGATGATAGTTAGTTTTAATTCACTTTCGTCTATCTTGTATCATTTTACTTAGAAATGTGTGATAAATGTGAATCATATATAATTCAACAGAGAATAAAAAAAGTTCATATCAATCGATAAAATTATCTTTTTAGTATACGTTTATGAAAATAATATAAAGTTGATCTTTTATTTTTCTTATGTTTTCATTATCTATAATATTTGAATATTAAACAAGACAATTTTCTCTCTTACCTACTACCCATGAATTGTATAATAACATTAAGTAAATTAGTTCGAAAATTGAAATGATGTAAAGAAGTTAATAATTTGCATAAACATTGAATAGCTAAATGTCCAAGATTAAGTTTCGAGGATTCCATGATTTTTATTTGATTATGTTTAGTTTTTTTTAAATGATTATCTGGAAGATTTTTTTTTGCACATTGTTCAAGAAAATGAAGAAAATCTTGATAATGTTTAAGTAATGTTTGTTCAAAATGTCGAATTATTTTAACATCTTTAGATAAAATTTCTTTTTTTGTTTGTTTTTTATTTTTCATATTTTTAATTTCTTCATTTTCATCTTTAGTTTGTTCTTTTAATGAACGTATACGATAACCAGGTACAATATCACGAAATAATTCAACTAATGAAAGCATTGTTAATTTTCTTATTGTCATTGATATTAATGGATCACCAAGATTAAGTAATAGACGTAATTGTTTTAAATTTGATATTTCTTCATAAGGATTTTTCATAATTAAGTCACATAATGTAACAATAGTTTGTTTGGTTTCATTTAATTTTTTATCACGTTCAGCTATTAATTCAACAACAGAAACAGGTTTTGATGGTGGTGATGGAGAAGAAAGAGATGATGTAGGCTCTTCTTCTTCTTCTTCTTGTTCGTCTTCATCATCTTCGATTTCTTGTTCCACTATGGGTGTTGATTGAGCAATTAATTGTCCACGATCAGTTTTAATTGGTAATAATGGTCTTTGTTGATTTGTATTATTAAATGATGAACGTGGTAAACGCTCGTATGATTCAACATGTTCATTATCATCTTCATCATCTGTTTGAATATTGATTTGTTCATTTTCTTCATCCGAAAGCATATCTAGTGGTAAAATAAGACTATCATCATCATTATCTTCGTTAATATCAGTATCCATGGTTGACATTTGCGACTGTTTTTTTGGTTGTGTTTTGTTTTTTTGATAAATTGATGAATTCTTTTTTAATGGTATGTTAAATTTAACTTTTTGATGAAATTTTTT